GAAATCAAGGTTTCCCAACTCACCTAGGTGAACTCTCTGCGTCCACCAACCTGGTTAAAGCGCCGGAGTTTCGCTTTTCGTTCTCTCAATTTCGTAGACAACATTCCCACCATGAGAAGGCATTGAGTAGGACTTCCCTGGTAGAGGCTATATACACGTGGCTATGTGATAGCATTTCGAGAGGGAAAACGGACTTTCCCCACTCTCGGCCTTATCAAGGCATTCGGGGTTAACCACATTAACAGTCGGTTATGTTCTGTTAGAGTAAAAAGCTTCATCAATGTAAGAAGAAATTGGTATGAGAAACGATGTATTTTCGTCATCTCTGCCTACGCTTTTACAGACTGTAGCCCAGCTGCGATCAGGGATGAGTTTCACTGCCAGTTAACTGTTCGACTTATATTGTAGTACTAGCCGGAGTCTTGAATGCACAGGTCAGGCGTCTAAGCACAGCAGAGTCATTTGGGTGGCTAGTGGAAACTTATTGGTGGCAGGTCAGATAACACTGATCGTCTACTGCAACTGTGCGCAGACTACAACCTGTTTCTAACTAGCACTAACCACCGGTACAGTCACCAATGATGCGCTTTCTCGGGTCCTTTCTCTGCATTTCAAACCTAGACTCAGATTGATCAAATCAGGATCGGCTACTGCTGGCGTGGTTTTGTGCAAGACTGCCGCTTCTTCTGGAGTACTTATCTGGATTCCGATCATGCTCTTGTCTGCGCTAATCTTACCTTACGTTTCAGTAACCCACAAGTTAATTGACCTAAATCGACCGATGTCAAGAAGTTGATTGTAGCTTTTTTGCAACTAAGCATCAAACCGAGCTGGTTTGGTGGCCCATGACCTGACTCCTGATAGATCATGCCCGATTTTTGTTGAGGTATACATGTCTCCAATTCTCAAATATCATCATCAAATTAAATCGTGTTAATGAAAAACAGAATTAAATAAATCAAATACGAGAATGGATTTTTGAATACGTATATTTCGTACAATCGTTGACTGAAAAGAGAAGCAAAACAAAATGAAGTGCAATAGAGAAAGAGATTGAGCTAACTCAATTTAATCATGCACGAATAGATATTTATAGTCTAAAAAATAAGTTAGACATGTGATAAATAGAACAAGAAGTGCACTCACATACGCTCATATAAAAACGGTCAGAGTTACTAATCGAATAATTAAAAGGTCAAAATGTGACTCAAAAAGAATGAATAAATTGGCTTGTCCGGGAGATAGAATAAGCCACATGAGCTTGCTAGCCATCAGCCCAACGAAATGTATATATGAACATCGGCTGCAGCTACATGACGCCATGAAAATGGCGAGTAGGGTCGCTTGTGGCTTCATGAGACGTCTCGCTTATAAGCGCTGAGTCTATACAATTTCATTACAACTAATTGAGGCACACTGACTTACTACAGATGACCGCGAGTCTGAACATAAACAAAGATTGTTACGCAATGAAATCGTCCAAAGGATAGAGAAGCCCAATAGCCGGAGCGTGCCAACTAGATGGAAGCATTAGTTGCATCTGGTAACTTTCAGAAGCTCTATCAACTCATCTGAGTCACCGGCAGCAAGAGGTTTGATGTGAGTGAAACAATCTGTGAAGATGATAGGATGTCAATCACTAATATGTATCTACGTTATGGATGATGGATAGAGTGTTTCGTGGAGCAGTTCAACTAGTATGTCGCCTTGGCGATATCGATCAGACTGTTCTGCTGTCTGTGATCAGTGTAACGGGTCAATAGTTGGCCCATACTGCAAAAAAGGTTCAGGTTATTTCTGTAACAACTAACGGGGGATAAGTCTACTTTAGATCGCGTCCAAACTATTGGCTTCTGTCGTACTTCTTAGATTATTCAAAGCCCGAGAAAGGTTGACTTGCGAGGAGCAGGCTGGGTTTCGTTCTGGTCGAGGATGTATTGATCATATCTTCACCCTTCGCCAAGTGTTAGAACACCGTCATACTTATCACAGGCCAACAGTCGTAGTGTTTCTTGACATTAGGGCTGTCTTCGATTCGTTGGACAGTACTGTTCTCTGGGATTGTCTATTGAAGAAAGGTGTGCCTGAGAAGTTTACTAACATCTTAAAGGCCCTATGTACAAACACCTCAGGTAGAGTGAGGGCATACAACCACCTTTCTCCATTGTTCCATTCACGAAGTGGGGTTAGACAGGGTTGCCCAATCTCACCATTCCTCTTCAACTTTGCCATCGATAACATTCTGGAAACAGCTCTGATGGATGTAATTAATGGCGGTGTGGATCTGTTGCCCGGAGAAATACTTTTCGACCTTGAGTATGCAGATGATATTGTCTTACTGTACGATAATGCCAAAGCCATGCAATCCGCAATTAATCAATTGCCAATTAGTGTCCGTAGATAGGGGATGTGCTTCGCACCTTCGAAGTGCAAAGTACTTCTACATGACTGGCAGGACCCTGATCATGTAATCTCCATGGGTAGTGATCAGATAGAAGTAGTCGAGATGTTCGTGTATCTAGGTAGCTGCATAAGTGCTGGTGGTGGCGTGAGTAATGAGACCAATGCACGTATAGTGAAAGCCAGAGTAACTTATGCCAATATGGGCCATCTTTGGCGCCATTGTGATGTCAGTCCGGCTGTAAAAGGTCGGATCTACAACGCGTCGGTGAGATCAGTTTTTCTCTATGCTTGTGAAACCACACCTCTCCGAGTTGAGGATGTTAGACGACTCTCTGTGTTTAATCATCGTTGTTTCCGATGGATTACTGACATCCACTGGCAACGTAATGATAGTAATACAGAGGTCCTGCATCGTGTGTTTGGGTGCAGAGACGATAATTCCATTGGTGTCACCATGTCGAAACATAGATTTCGGCGGCATGGACATGTTCTACGAATGTCGTCCTAGAGAATTCCTTGTCATTCATTATTTGCCGACACTGAGAGTGGTTGTGAAAAGCCGAATGGTGATCAGCGCACAGCATATTATCATGGTATGAAAGAAAGCTGTACAGGACTGGCTTCTGTTGGTCCTTCACAACTCCCTGGTCGAAGTCCTGAAGATATTGCAACGCTGTGTATTAAAACGTCATCAGAAATCGCTCAGAATATAAGCCAGTGGAGATCCTTCTGTAACTTTCTTTGATTTTGTTCATGAAAGTGAACCTAACCTCATTGACTAAAAGTATTCTTAATCGTATTCTTGCTAGCTGAACTGTTTCTCTTATTATTATTATTATTTCACTCCCACGCAATAATTTCTGTTGATTGTTCCTCTCTTTTTCATTATACTCACCTTACATTCTCTATCTCTCTACAACCTCATTGTAATTGTGTGTCGCATATGTATTATTTCTTCCTTGTACAAATGTTTGTGCTCAAATAAATAATAAGTAGTTATGCAAACATGTACGTGGGTGGGGTTAAAGTTATTTATACAGTCGTTTTTTTAGTTACGCAAACGCATTCCTCAATGCCATGTTAAGGCATAGTTAATTGAAAAAACATGAAGTCAATACATAAATATAGAGCACGGTCAGTTTGGAATGCCATATACATGAGATTAAGTGGGATACGACCTTGGTGAAATGCAATAAACATTGAGCCGAACGCAAGTCAACACAATGTCAAGCTACATGTCACCAGCTTTAGCGATTCTCGCTGCCTATATTTCATGTTTACTATCCCGAAAATGCTGACTTTGCAACACATAACAAAGATCCAGAAATAATCACTGAGGCTACTCAAAACTTGTTCGTGAAATAAAGCGTGGAACTATGGTAACTTTCAAAGTAATATACATGTATTTTTACATTTAGACAGATAAAAAGGCAGTTTTTAGTCCATAAGACCTGAGTTAGTTTCAGTGAATTGTATCGTTCTGCAGATGAATGAATATTTTGAACAAATTTTCGAAAAAAGCTGACATCTCATGTTGTGGTGGTAATTCTCTATCAACGAAGGATCCAGTTTAGTTTTTGAATTTTACTGCTGATTTCTGACTTCTGAACATTAATCTTTTATCCCAAAACACAAGGCTTTTTGCAAGGAATATGTTATAAAGTTTCCTTTCCCATAGATGAGACCGTGTCAAACTTCAAGTCTCTGATGCCTGCTTCGCCGATAACGGTCAGGCCACCTTGATGTTTTTCATATAATGAAGTGATCATGATCAATTCATTTAATCTATCCCAATACAACTTAAGAATTTCAGTTTCTCTTCATCAACCGAACTATTTGTTATCTATGCACTTAACGTAGTGTCAGTGAAATTTTCTGGTAAAAATTTATCGTTTGTTTCAAAAGTCATATAGAGTACTCGTGCACCTTTTTTTTCGACGAAATGAAATGCAATATTAGTATTTTCGTCATCATATGACATTGTAATATCCAGCAGTGAAAACATTGATTCTAGGTCGTTTTAGCCATTTACTACGTATTTAATCAAAAACTGTATGTAGCGATCATGACAGTCATCTTTGCGTAGAGTAGAAAATGTATGCCATTTAACTACCTACGCATTTCATGTTCAATTCCGTATCAACTGTGTTAAGTTATAAATAGGACTGCTATGGACAATAATAGTTGCTAAATTTTCACGAACGTTGCATTTCTGAATAGTGGTACAACTCCTGTTTTTCGCTGGCTATTTTCTGCACTTTTCAAATCGCTAAGTCCACAAAGCATTTGTTACCACTCGAATAAATAATGAAGTTTGTTTTAATTACAACCCTAATTTTTAGGTTTAAAAATAATCTGAACTAATAAAATTAACCACTGTTTAGTAAACTGTTTTTATTTTTAGTTATCCTGGATTTTTTATATGTTTAGAAATAACATATTTACATTAATGTGCATTTTGTTCTTTTGTAGGACTTATTTTACATACAACATTAGAAGTTCACTTTATGTGCAGTCAAAGAACACAACAACAAATTATGTGGCATAAAGAGATTAAAATGTCACCGACAAAGTCTTAGTAGGATAAATTTCAAAACATGTGGCTGTTTGAAATTATTTCAAAAATTTTCGGTTTTTTAAGGAAAGAAGTTAAAGTCTTAGTGATCGGGTTGGATAACAGTGGGAAGTCAACGATATTAAACAAGTTACAATCAAAGGAAACGCAGAATTCATTAACGATTCCAACTATAGGATATAATGTTGAAAAGATTAGAGTCAGTCAAATGATGTTCCTTTGTTTTGATATGTCAGGTAGTGGAGCCTACAGAAATTTATGGGAAAAGTTCTACAAGGAATGCGAGGCGATAATTTATGTAATAGATAGTTCCGATGAACTAAGACTTACTGTTGTAGAAGACGAATTTCAACAACTATTGAAACATCCAGATATTTGCAATAAGCGAATTCCAATCCTCCTTTTTGCTAACAAAATGGATTTATCGAATTCTATTACAGTCAAAGAAATCGTCAAGATTCTTGGTCTGGAACAATTAAGAAACAAATCATGGAGGATCTTTGCTTCGAATGCCATAAATGGTGAAGGATTAAATGACGGTTTGATGTGGTTATTTGAACAATTGAAACAAAATAATAACTAAAATGTGATAAAGATTCTGATAGAGAAAAGATATAGGTGACCTATCAGGATATGTCATTTGCTTTTCTAACGAAATAGAAGTAAGACCCTTGGAATTTGTGTCAAAACACTTAACATTTACATCCAAAATATAAAAAAATCCAGAACAAATCTAAAGATAGGAAACCAGATATTTATGCTTTTAATCATTAGTACTTTTATGCTATCTGACCGCATTTATTTCGAATGTTAAAATTTATAAAAATGACTAAAATGTACTGAATAAAAAGGTTTTAAAACTTTATATTCTATGGCTGTCATTCACTTTTTTTATGATTAAAAAGTAGCCTTGTTTTCATTCAAATAATTTATGATTGTTATCTTTTGATACCGAATGCAGCATGTTTTTATGTATAGCTATTTGCTATATTAAATACTTTCATTAGAAATTTCATTAGTTGAAATCATGAGTCAATTGAAGCTAGACCACCATGGAAAACCTGGAAGCATTGGACGACCGTTTTGTCCTAGTATGGAACTCCTCATTAGGACATTAAATTATGCAAATTAAATGGAGTATTTCTAATCAATTAGTTATTCATATTGATTTTAAACTGTTATCTAAGTTTACCAATCAAGAATAAAATTAATACTAACTAAATGTAATTGAATTAATTAAGTTATGTATTTCATATCTTTCCCTCTAAAGTTCATGATCAGTTAACTACTCAGTGAATATACAGTTAGTTATGCAGAAAAAAAAATCAAGAAAGTGTTATAATTTTTTATTTGAATGCTTAGTGTTTTGGCTCGTTTAATGCTACTTTTTGTATCTGGTCGTCACTGATTGTCATGTCGGAAACGCCTATCACTTATACTCGGAATGAGGGACCTCTGCAATTCCCACGACACGAAAGTAAGAACACAAAGACTGGTATAAGTGATGATTTATTAATCCCACAAAACACCACGACGGCGACGATTCCAGTAGAAAATACACTCATTCATATATTGATTGTACACCCATTTTGATTAATAATAAGGATGAAATCACATATATGAAAAATACTTAGAGTTATAACAAATCACATACTGAGCATAGTTCATGTCAATGGAATAAAAGAATATTGCATATTATACAGAATATCATACGAGAAATGAGAACAAATATTACATTGAGTAATCATTACATTGAATCAAAACGGAAGGAATCTTGAACAATAACTCATAATGAGTAAATCAATCGAACATTGACTTTTCTTTCCATCATATCAGAAAGTTTGGAACTAGACTACTCGATATAAATGTTAAATGTTGTTCATTAAACAAGTATTATGTAATTAACAAAACGGGTGGGACAAACATTAATTAATTGGATTATATGGATATAAATTAGATAGACTTGGTTGATTGATGTATATTCTTATGGCTTCTGTTATTTGTAAAGATAATAGTAGCATAAGTTCAACTGGATTCTACCCATAACTAACTATAAGAACTAAACATATGTTGATATGCTGATTGACATAGACTAAATTTAAGAGAACAAAGCTTTTTATTTTTTCCTCTAGTCAATCAAACGATTAACTTTCTGAAGTACGATCATGTATTTGTCTGGTTTTACGCTTTTCATTACATTTTTAGTTTATGTTTTTGAGAAATATTTAATCAACCGATCATTCAACGAACCTATTATTACTCAATAGAAATGACTTTATAGTTATTTAAGAAACTGTTCCCTTTTTACTTAGTGGTCTTACCAACATCCAGTGTCTGACAAAACCTTTTACCGACATAAAGTCTTCATTAAGGTTTTATATTGTTCATACTGAAAGGCAAATGCTCGTTTACCAATTGAGGAGCGAGTATATTACATGGTGGTTTGTTCTAAATAACTTTATGGTTAAATATTCAGACAAAAGTAAAATGTGTATATAGGTTTCAAGAATTGAATTGTAGGGCGTCTTTGGCAAATTGTTAGTGAATAAATAAACTGTATTGGTATTTCTAAATTAAGAATGAATCATTTAGTATATGTAGCTTACTTTACCAGTGAAATAAATAAAGAGCTCCGCTTAACCGTAAAGTGGAAAACGTTATTAGAGAGAAGTTTCCTACTCATTAGCTTCGTCTTCTGCAGCATAAGTGGTCAAATAAAAAATGTGCATGGTTACAGTATTTCAGCATAGATATTTCTGAAGCACTGTTGATTTATAATGGAGCTACTCATGAGTAGTATTAGTGCAAACTACTGGATATCATAACCAGGTTTATCAAACATTTAAAAATCAGGCTAAAAAGAGCAAATAGTGGTGCAAACTAATGTAGCATATGACGTCGTTGACTGTTGATATAAGAATTTTGAGGAATTACGATATTTCTCAATTTTTGTTTCCTCCTAAATTCTAATGATCTGAGTATTCCACATGTTATGATTTCTTTCAGTTACGATCCTACTCCTCTTATTGCTTAGTATTCTTAGACACTCCTTTACTAGACAAGTCCTTAAATCAGAACACGGTTGAACAGGAACGTAAATATATTCCAAATAACACGGTTAAATGGAAGTAGAAATCAGAATAAGGAAAACATCAGTATACTTATAATTTTTACGTAAGAAAATTCCAGTCTTCAACAAGTGTATTCATTAGTGCTGATTGGCTAAGAAATATCCATGCTTTAATCCAATATATATTCCGCTAACATCAAATTTGTTGGCGTTCCTGTAAACAAGGTACATTAGATGTAACCAACATCCGCTCTAAAAATGTATTTGATAAAGTGTTGCTTCTATAAGGATTGGGAGGAAGACGTTATGAATTCGGTCCTTGGGCATTTATCTGATTGGATGATAATTTCAGAATAAATATATTAAGTTGTAGAATTAAACAATAAAGGGAATTATCAAGAAAATTCTCCTAGTGCTACCTTCATTTAATAAAGATTTCGCAAAAATTGAAATGGTGCTACTTAACAGTTTAAAGTAAATAACTTTCATAGGCATCATAATTAGTGGGATGAGTATCAAATATCGTGAGTTAAAATATATTCACAACTGATAGCAGTCGGTGGAAGGATTATGGACTCAAAGGTTGGCAGTAGGTTTATGTTAGGTGAAGCTTATAGATAACCAGCGTGCATGACCTATAGTTCCTTTTAAGCATAGAAAAAAAGCAGTGATTATCTCACTGGTATAAAAAAAGTAGCAAATATCAACAGGCATATTGAAAAAAATGGTAGATTTCTAAAGGTACATTACTTAGTCCATAGAGTATTTTCCTGGTAAGTGACTCAAATAAACGGTTATGGTTTACAGAATTGCTTGAACACTTTCAATTATAGATAACCATAAGTTTGGTAATCATAAACCGATTGATGAACAGATAAGATAAAAAACGTATTTTATTTAGTTAATATAGAATATGTTGTATCACATTAGCAATTTCATCTTGTTTCAGATTACCAACAATACGGCAGTAAGTCTGTGGTTAGTTAGATAGAACACTTTGTTACGATTTTTTGAAACGATAAGATAATTTTACACATTATACATTATAACACCTTTATTTCTGTACTCTAATTATTATTGTAAATATATTCAAGGTTAATATTTATAATTTATAGAGGTAACCGTTAAATCGAATAACTAAATTGAGTGTATAACGAAATAGTTAGCATTGAGAAGCTGAAATTTATATTATAGAGACACGTAAAGAACATCAGCTCTAGAGGTCAGTAATAAAAATCATACAGTAATGAATATTTGAAAGAAATAATGACATTGATAATAATCATAGTAACAACTACAATGGTGGTGACGATATTTGAGAATAAATGTTTTCTTGAAATTTGTTGGAGAAATGTATGTATATACTGCGGTTCTATTGTTCCCAACATTTTTGTTATAAATTCAAGTGACCAAAAAAAACCCAACAAAATTCAAAGCAATAAAAGTAAATACAACCTAAAATAGCACACTTTTCAAAAAAAAAGTTTTCAAACTACCCAGTCAACACATAATGTTCATAATTTAATAAACGAGTAAACGGATGAAGAAAGAAAAAAGATACAATGTTAAGTTATTTAATAATATTTAATATACACATGTGTTTAAAGCTTGTGCGTGTTAACAATTCTTTCTGAATAGTTTTGTCTTAATTATTTTAAAAGTGAACATTTTGAATCTATGTGGAAAATAGTTCAAATAGTTTTCCATTTTAAAAACAACAGCATAAATTTACTGAATTATGTTAATAAGTTGAATATTGGAGTAATTAGACAGTTAGTAACTAGAAGATATTACATTTGATGATTCAAGGAAGAAAAATGGACGAAATCTGAATTATGAATTGATCAAAAGAAAAAGAAATCAACAAAAAGTTGAAGAATAAACATGGGATTTGTTCATTGTTTGTAAAAAAAGTAAAAGCACTGGTATAAAGAAACAATTATTAAATGCTAGTTAAATTGTAATTTTATAACTAGGAGTATTCATGTGAAACATCGGTAACATGTTGTTGTTGTTGACTTATTATCCATCCATCATAGTACTAATACGAAAGACTCTATATGGGTACTAATGTAAATAAATGTAGGACAAGTTGACAGTTATATTAAAATGTTAAATAGATAGATATAAATACAAAGAAAATGAAATTTAGCTAAAATAGACAATAAAGCTACAAAATGAGGAAAAAAAAGGGAAATGTAAAAGTAATAGGAGAGAGAATTGTAAAAACAATATAATAATCATTAATATCTGTTAGAAAAAAAAAGAAGTAGTAATAAAGAGATGTATAAATAAATCATAAAGTAAATAGAATGTATAACTGACACATTATTATGAATTATTTGATTTATATTTAATGTGAAAATGCAATACGACTAATTGGGAATCGTAACAACACCGGAGTTGTACCACGTACTGGTAGTAAAGTTCGTGAATAACGATAAATCATAGATGAAACACTTGGATATGGTTGACTATATTCACCTAAAACATAACCTCCAGTTTCAGGATCT